ACTGACTGACTGACTGACTGACTGACTGACTGACTGACTGACGGACGGACGGACGGACGGACGGACGGACAACTGAGTAATAAATCTTCAGTTTGCACCAAGATTTTGATTGATATTCTCTGTCAGGGTGATTAACTACATTCTGAAGCGATCTAACTCAGCTTTTGCTTGATTTAAAAAATTTTGATAGTTCAGTAACTGTAGGATGCATTTAATTATAACCATATTAACGGATTTCTTGAAACCTTGTTTCGATGCATACTTGAAGTAGTGTCAAAGTGAATTTCACCATATTTTGTCTATAAAGTCGTCCTCACAGTCAAAGCTTTCTTTAACATATCTTTAACTTTCCTATTCTTTTTAATTAGCATTCACCTCTAATTTTTTATCTCCTTCTTCGTCTTTCATTCTCTTTCCTTCTCTTTGCTCATCCTACATTTTCTCAAACTTTATCTTCTTAGTTCTTTTTTTCATTTCTTTGTATTAAATTTTCCTCTTTCTCCCTGTCCCTCTTGTGCTACTACTCCTGTCACTTCTTTTACTTGTCTTGCGCCTTTCCCTTCGTTACATACTTGTTTTTCCTATTATGTTTTCGCTCGTTTACTGCGTCCTAGTGCTATTCACCGCCTTCCCCTTTTCTTCTCTTTAGTTCGTGCTATACGTATCACAGAATACTTGACTTCTTCGCGTTTGCCCATGAGGTTATTTCTGGAGTTAAATATCCTCGCATATTCACTAGAGTTTTGGAGGCTTTTGAAATAGGGTGAATGTAGCCTTCATGCTCAACGTATTAACAAATTTTCGGTAAGCATTTGTCCCAGTATGCGGGGTGATTGGATATGTCAACATGTTCGTATCTGCCTTCATGAACTAATTCTTATTGCAAGACTGAAATATTCTTTTTTGGATCTAAGAAATAGCCTTGAAGTGTTAGTCTACTACCGGTGCTTTCTCTCAGTATTCACACATTGATTCGAAACGTGAGAGTCATGTTTTATGGTCATTCATAAACTATATATTATACAATGCTGCATAGAAACGTGAATGTTGGGAATAACAAGAAGAGACATGAAGGCGAACGGATGCGTGAAAGCAGAAACGGAATCGTGACACATAAAGAAGTTGGAATGGCAATGGGTTTGATGCATTGCAAGAAAAGTAAACCATCCTGAATGACAAAGTCATTAGACAAAAGACTGCGCTATGGCCCGTAAAAAACCCCCAGATCGATTGTAACACGACTTGAAGAAATTTGTTCCAGCGACGTGGATAACCTCAGAAGAAAACGTTTGAGACAATCCTCTATCAATGGATCTGAAAAGGCTGATGATTACGATGGTGTTAGAGAGACAACGAAATCCAATTACTATGGAACAATGGCCCTAGGCTGAATAGGGAGGACAAAGTTTGGTTCCAAATACGCTTTCATATAAAATTAATTTTTTCTTCAAGCTTCATCGATGACGATTCGATTCTTTCTTGATATGTTTCTGACAACGGATTCCAGAGTCTTCGTTGGCGCTTCTTTGACGAGAGTCCAACAATGTCGAGTTGTTACCTTATGGCCTCATTAATTAGCTCTTGTTCTTTCCCTCTGAGTTAGAAAATATTCCAATTTCCGACTGTAAGCTCCCACTGGCGGTATCGTACTCGTCGAGCCTTTTCTGACGTGCTGCATCGCGCTGCCTACCTCCTCCGTTCAGAACGGGTAGCAACTCAGTTGCTGACTGGTGTCTTCGTCGTCGTCGTTGTGCTGCCACGCCCCCGGCTGAGAGAGCGATGAACAAATTCTGATCGCCGACTTTTCGCAACCTGTCGCAGCCCCTCCCCCCACCCAGCCCCAACAGCATGCGTGGTCCTTGGTCCTTGGTAAACCAGGCGATGACGGAACCGGTATAGGTTCGATGACAGCAACGCCACGAGGGACAAGGAGCAAAGTTTTACGGTGACCTTACCGCGGTCCTCAACAGACCTCCTTCCTCATCCGGACTTGGGACAGGCAACAGCGGAGTCACTTCAACACTGCAAAATTGTATAAACTATCCCTTTCTGGGTGAAAAATGTTAACACTTCGGTCATTTTAAAATCCGGTGTTTCCTAAACCTTTCTTTTGGTCTGATACATGCCATTCAAATGGTACCGTATAGTATTTTAGGTAAATGGATGTCATTATCGTGCTCTTTATTGTCCTACAGTTTATTTCCGTATCAATTACAGCTTATAGGACGGTCGAAGGTGACTGCCATAGGAGTTAAATTACCTTCTTGTTTGGGTGGATTCAATTTACGCCACAGATCCAAAATTCACCCCTATAGCTTCAACTTGGATGTCCTGTTCTACTCGACCTCAGCACATAGCATGGCGACGCGTATGGAGCGTAGTTTGTATAAATTTTTATGAACGCGAAGACATGCTGTAAACCTCCAAACGGTCACCTAGCAAAAATCAGGGTAGTTCAGTCGTTCGAGTTTTGGATTCATAGAAGAAGGATGTTTGGTTCAAATATGGATCGGTTCACTTCGCCTTTAATCTTTTCAAGGTAGATGAGTGAGTAACACTTTGTGGGAAAGAGGTAGGAGACCACATGTTGTACATGCCGGCAAGTCATAATATTAATAGCTTTCAAAATGTACAGCATCCCTGTCTGAGGCATTAGTGAAAGAAATTACCCTGGTACCATGAATATAAAAGAAGTTGCTAGAACTCGCACAACTGTAACGGAGACTGACACCCCAATGGCTATAGACCTTCCCCATCTTCGACTAGCGTGAAAAAAAGTATTTAGTGCTGACAAATTTCGCTTTGGTCCTTCAAAACAAGTTCTCTACGAAAGGGTCACAAGGACTTTGCGCATTCAGGCATATTCATTTAACGGTCCCGTCCTTGTCTTCACATAAGGGGAGCACTGACGTATTTGGTTGGAAGGTTACTTCACATGTTAAAGCGCGAGTTCAGACCCAACGCGCTACGTAAAATGTTTCCTATCAACTGCTAAATCTATTCAGCCAAGAACTCACCTCACTGAACTTCGGGGCAGCAAGCCGAAAAACGGGTTGCAGGCTACTGACCTAACGAATCTTAGGGGCGACATGAGACCTTGGTGCTGTGATGCCAAACGTCCGAGACAATAGGCTATGCTTTCTGATGCAATTGGCTCTGACGTAGCTGAGGCTGACTACAACTGTAAGCGTCAATTCAGAAAAGTTAAACCTCGAAGAAGTCATGGAAGAATCCTTCAGTGTATCGTTTACTCCTGAAAACAGAGTGAAAGTTCATGGGTTAAACCGAAAGAACTTTTGATTTCACAACACCCTGATTGCCTGACATGAGAAATTTAGAATTATCTGCTTATTACCCATGCCAGTGAAATTTTTAGGTGGTCAAGGCTAGAGAAACTCAGCGTTATAAAACAGTATTAAAGTACTCATCATGTCATGAACGGTTTGAATACATAAATGCTACTTGATATCCAGATCTAAGGAGATCTGTTGTATCTTTGTCCCCAGGACATACAATTTCGACGTTATGGTTATATTTTCACAAGTGGTATACCAAGAACTCGAAAACGGTCTGATATTACAGATCTCTTTACACGAAAAAAGTAAATCTGGTTTAATGCAATCAGTTGAACTGCCATCTGCTGTCACACCATCTAAGCCGAACGTTTCGAATTGTAAAACCAGCTTTTATGACTAATGTATCGGCTGAGGAAAATATATCCCAACTTTGTTCCCTTTGGCATACGATTCCTCATTATAATGGATGCCTTTTCTTCGCGGAACGGACGCAGAGGTTGACCGACGCCGTGGTCGTTATTTTGTCTTCCTAACAGCTTTACTTTTTTGCCTTATTCGATATTTCGTACAAAGCGCGCTTAGTTGAGCGGTCTCCATGATCGCCACTCATTCTGAATCCTCAAAATCCGCCAATCGATAGCGACGTTCGCAAGGATTTTCCGTAAATTCATGCCTTCGTTTACGACCAAATCTCCCTCGACGCTGCTCCAGTCGAAGCAGAGCCGTCGGAGTCGTTTTAATTTCGCTGTTCGACTTCTCTGAGGGATTTGCTTTTAATAATATTCGGCATCGTTTTCTGCTCTCTAAATTCTAGCGTTGTTTTTCATGTATTTTTTTATATCGTCTCGGTCGCGGATTCATTAGATGCCGTCATCAGAGTAAGCTCTTTTGTAACCACGACCATGTATAAAAACAATTATTTTTTTCTGCCTGGACGAAACTAATATCCACCGGAAAGTCAGTTTTCGCAAGAAGGCGCACTTAAAATCATAACTGCATTAGTGATGGCTATGAATGACTGGACGTATACGAATCTGAAGCATTACAATGGGTTATTTAGACGGACGGAGGATTAAGCGCCCACGGTTAGACCACGAAAACTGCTAATTTCGATTTTTTGCGACCCGTTAATCTACA